TTCACCCCGCACAGTCAGTTTCTAAACCAGTGGAATCCCAAAGAATGAGATCTGACTGTAATGTGAAGTGAGTTTATGTATCCCATCTAACAGTGGCTCAGTGGATACAATGCTGGGTTTGGAGTCAGGAAGACCTGAATTCAAATTTGGCCTTTGATACTCTCTGTGTGACCCTGAGCAAGTCACTTAACCTCTGATTGCCTCAGTTTCCTCAACTGTAAAATGGGAATAATAACAACACCTCTCTAGAAGGGTTATTGTGAGAACCAAATGAGATATTCATAAAAGTACCCAGCACAGTGCCTGGCACACAGTATGTGGTACATAAATGCTTATGCCCTTCCCCCCTTCTCCTTCCCTAACTGACAGAACTTTCAGGCCAGAAGTACTAAACTGTAATTCTGATTCTATGTAGCCTAAGGAAAGTGACTTCCCTTCATCTAACTCAATTTTCTCATCTGCAAAATAGAAATAAATCATATAATTATCATTATTTAGTATATTTATGGCAGCTACATAATCAAGTCTATAAAGCAAGTCCAAACAAAGAGAGGCAGGGGAGGGCTAGCTGATGGCATCCTGAGGTTACGATGCACCCCAAAGAGGTCCTCATCACAATAAATATTAATACCTCTGAGAGCCAAGTTAGAAGATCAGGTTTCAACAGCAAATGGGACATACAACTCATTAGCAATTCCAGCTAATGACCTCAAAGTTAGACAATGGAAGCAAAAGAGTTAGAATCCATTGTATGAGAATAGGATATAGGAGGTATGGGTAAACAATTTTATTTGAAAAAGATCTGGGGGTTTTAGTGAACAGTAAGCTAAAAATGAGTCAGCTGGGTGACTTGACAGCCATAAAAAGCTGAGGAAACCATTCTTAGCTTGTCTGAACAGAGGCAGAGTGTCAAGGGCCAGGGAGAGGATAGCCCCACTGATTTCTGCCCTGGCCAAACACCATCTAAAGTATTTGGTTCAATTTTGGGTGCATTTCAGGAAAGTCACTGACAAACTGGAGTACAGGGAGATGATCGGAAACCATGCTATCCAGAGGAGACTTGTCCAAGGAACTGAGGATTTTTGGCCTGGGGAAGAGTGGGAAAATTTCTGCTTTCCCTTTTCCAGAGGACAGAACTGAGAATGACAACAGCCGCTGTGAGGGTCTTAACGGCTTTTGTGTCATGGACCCCTTTGGAAGTTTGGTGAGGCCTAAGGACCCCTTCTCACAATAAGGCTTCTAAAGGTATAAAACAAAATACATGGGATTATAAAGGTAATCAGCATATTGAAATAGTTTTTAAAATATTTTTAAAAAAACAATTGCAAGTTCATTGGACACCAGCTTAATAATCTCTGTTAAAAAGGAAAACTTTCTAGCAATGGAAACTGTGTAAAAGTGTGAGATGTACTCCCTATCACTGGATGACTGTGCCAGAGAAATTGTTTATAGAAGGGATTTCTATCCAGATTCACAACGGGCGAGATGTCTCCCAACTCTGATTTTGAGTCTTGCCTCTTTCTTTTGCTGCCCTCGATGGTCCCTGGTAGGGTCAAGCACCACATTAAATATCTGTCAGCATTATTAGAAATAAATGGGGGCATCGAGGTGGCACAGTGGATATAGCACCAGCCCTGAAGTCAGGAGGACCCAAGTTCAAATCCAGCCTCAGACCAAACACTTGATACTAGCTGTGTGACCCTGGGCAAGTCACTTAACCCCAATTGCCTAAAAATTAAAAAAAAAAAAGAAAGAAATGATACTTTCTGGCCCATAATTTGAAGGTTGAGAACTCAATATCTAGGATGTTGTAAAGAAGAATGAGGCCTTTTAGAGAACTAGATTCCACCTTCAACTTCATGTCTCTTTTGTAGCTACCAATCTCCCAAAAGCCTCAACTCTCCTGTCAAGTAATATGTTCATCACTATTATCCCATAGTCAGTAAAGAACTTAGGATGTAAAACAGCAAGTCACTTAACTTCCTTGGGCCTCAGTATCCTCATTTGTAAAATGGAGCTGAACTAAATGGCCTTCTATTTATTTTATTCTAGATACTAAAAAGATAGTAAATAGGTTGCTAGGTGGCTCAGTGGATAGAACACTGAGCCTGGAGTCAGGAAGACTTCCTGAATTCAAATCCAGCCTCAGACACTTACTAGCTGTGTGTGACCCTGGGCAAGTCATTTCACCCTGTGTGCCTCAGTTTCCTCTTATGTACAATGAGCAGGAGAAGGAAATGGCAAACCACTCCAATATCTTTGCCAAGATAAGCTGGGAAGGAAATGGCAAGCTACTTCAGTATCTTTGCCAAGAAAACCCCAAATGGGGTGATGGAGAGTCAGACCCGACTGAGCAACAAAATAGGAAAGAGCTACATTTGGCACAAAAGATTAAGTGAGGCTAGAAGATATAAAATCACTTACTTGCTATTTATTGAATACCTCTTATTTTCTCGGTATTGTCAACATCATGTCTCCTTATCAGGTTTTGAATGCCCAAGCACTAAGTGTAGAAGATGGGTAATATTGGTATAATTTGTGGGCTGGACTTCATAGAGTTCTGCACCTTAGTAGGTTTATACTAGGCTTGTGGTCAACTAAGTCCTCCAGGTTTTTTTTTTTTTGGTGAGGCAATTGGGGTTAAGTGACTTGCCCAGGGTCACATAGCTAGTAAGTGTCAAGTGTCTGAGGCCACATTTGAACTCAGGTCTTCCTGACTCCAAGGCTGGAGCTCTATCCACTACGCCACCTAGTTGCCCCCTACTCCAGGTCTTTTTCACATGAACTCCCTTCAAACCAGATCTTTTCTATCCTGTATTTTTGGGGACGTTTCCTTGAGATAGTTAAGCCCATCTTTAGGATGGTTCTATATGACCTAGGCATCTTGTCTTTTTGCTTTGGTCTTGTCTTAGCCTGATTCTTGAAGACTGTTCTTACTTTCTATTCACTTACTACATGAAATACCATATATGGTGCAAGGTAAGGGGGGACTATCATGGCATTGATAATCCTAGGATCTTAATCCTTGACTGAGGCTCAGTAACCACTTTAGACAAATAAAATGGAAGAGCAAAAGTGGAGTGGAGAAGGATCAAGAACATTTGGGGAATGATATTATCAACAGGCCTGTCAGTACCATAGGCAGGGACGGGGAAGGCAGGAGCCAGTTTTCAATCACCTCCTCAATCACTTAGGCATCATCTATGTGGCTATGATTGAAGAAGGTAGTTAGCAAATGCTGGCAATACTTGCCAGAACCATGACCACTGATAGGAAAGTATGCTATGCTACAGGCAATGAGGGCTTCAGGTGAAAATCTGACTATGGTAAGAATGACAACTCCCACTTTGCTGGGGCTTTTAGGATGAAGAAGCATGTTACTCAGAACATGCCTGGGAGGGTAATCAACAGCAGTGTCCCTGAGTTTGGCACAAAGATCATTTTACATGGGTTGCTTCTTTTTTCCACTTTTTCTCATTCATTCATTCAGTCCACGTCTAATCAGATCCTGCTCTACCCTGGATAAATGAGACCTGATCCCTGCCTTCATAGAGATAACAGTCTAGGTGAAGGGGTGAGGGAGCACGTGGCTTGGGGGTACAGGAGGATGGCCAGGAAACATCCTGGAAGAGGCTCCATTTGAACTCGAGTCTCTCATAGTTAGGATTTCAGCAGGTGGAGCATTCTAAGACAAGCCAACGGCATATCTCAGCAGAAGTTGTGGGGGGAGGGGGGCCTTCCATTTTGGCTGTGTGTCCAGTGTCCAGAGCTCTGTGGTTTAAGCTGGATAAGTAGATTGGGTGAGACATTGCTAGGTCGGGCAATCCTGGCTTGGCCCTAGGGCAACTGAAATTTGGAGAATGCTGACAGTACCATAGGAAGTCCCCAAGATCACAGATCTAGAACTGGAAAGGGACTCCCCTCCCCTGCCCCGCCTCAGTCACTTAGCCTAACCCCCTCATTTTACAGAAGAGAAAACTATGGCCCCGATAGAGCTGTGACTTGCCCAAGGTCACAGCTGCAACTCTGGGATTCGAAAGGACAGCTTACGTCACAGAACTGCAGGAGGCTTCCCCTTCTGCATCTATCCGCCCACTCCCATCAACCTTGACTTGGTGACCCATACCCTGCTCTAAACTGGGGGGCCCTGGCTGCCTGGCTCAGGCAGTTCAGCATTTTCTTAGCCCCGGACTTAGGAAGGAGGGGGAGGGGGGCGCAAGGAAAGGGAGGGGGAAGGAGGGAAAAGGGAGGGGGGAGGAGAAAGTCTTGGGCCTTCAGCTGCAGTCGCAGTCGCTGCTGCCGCTGCAGCCGCCGCCGCCCGCCGCCTGGGGGCGCAGTGCCTTCAGCTCGGAGAGCCCAGGGACCTGACGGGGAGCCGGCCAGGGACGCAGCGCGCTGGGCCAGATGCCGGCAGGAACAGGATGGAAGGGCCTAGAGGCGGCCTACCGCTTTCCAGAGGCCCCGGCCGGAGCCCGAGCGGGACGGGGGCGTTGGGACGTGGGGGTTTGCGGGCCGCCGGCCGAAGGGCACACCTCATGGAGGGAGGGAGGAAGGGCGGGGGGAAGGAAAGGGGGGGAGGGGGTCAGGAGAGGGGAGGGGGAGGCGCTGGCGGCCCAGGGGAGAGAGGGCGGCCCGCCCCGCCCCTACTGCCCCGGCAACCCACCGGGAGGGCGGCGGGCGGCGGGCAGCGGGGCTTGCTTACAGAGAGGGAGTGCAGGAGAGCAGAGCGGAGCCTCTCGGCGGTAGGGCAGCGGCGAGCCGCGGGGAGCAGTGGGCCGCCCGGCCGGGCGGTGAAAGGAGGAGGAAGAGGAGGAGGAGGAGGAGCTTGGGGAGGAGCCTCGGGCCGGGGTGTGTGTGTGTGTGTGTGTGTGTGTGTGTGTGTGTGGTGTGTGTGTGTGGTGTGTGCCCGCGTGAGGGTCTGGGAGTGTGTGTATGGGGTGTGTGTGTGTGTGTGTGTGTGTGTGTGTGTGTGTGTGTGCCGCGTGCGCGCGCGCGAGGGTGTGGGTGTGGATGTGCGGGTGTAGGTGTGTAGGAGTCGGGGGTGTGTGAGAGTCCATTTGGACCGTGTGTATACTTTTTGAGTGTTATTTCTCTGTCTTATGTCAGTGTGGCTTTTTGTGTGGTATTTGTGTGTGTGTGTGTGTCCACTTGGGGTATCTGTATGCGTGTGTGTGTGTGTGTGTGTGTGTGTGTGAGAGAGAGATGCCTCTGTATGTTATGTGTGTGATTCGTGTATGTTGTCTGTGTGTGGTGGGGGCTGGGAATGAGTTACAAAATGGCTGAGTTGGATTAAAATTCACCTCAACCAGCTCCCTTATTTCCCAGAGGTCTAGGCAAGGAAGGGGATTTTTGCCCAGGGCCACATCCTTATCTGGTCCCAAGCAGGACTTGGACCAGGCCTCCACTTTCCTTAATCCCAGGCTAGAGTCTCATAGCTTTAGAGCTGGAAAGTGTTTGAGCTGTGAATAGGAGTCACACAGCACTGGCAGGCCTGGATGAGTAAGGATTTGCACCTGGGGAAGGAATGCCCATGATGAGATCATTGATTGATTCATTGGCATTTTGAAGGGAATTTAGAGGCCATCTAGTCCAACTCCTTCAATTAATAAATGAGGAAACTGAGGCCTTGAGTACCACTGCTGACATTAGGCCTTAAATTACTTTGGATTTACTTTGTATATATTTTGTGTTTGTGTGCATATTTTTTTTCTCCTCTTTACCCCCATCCCTAAAATGTAATCTCCTGGAGGACAGGACTTGATTTTGTTTTTGTAGTCCCAGTGCCTAGTACAGTGCTTGATACATATTAGGCACTTAATAAAATGCTTGCTGAGTGAACAAATAAAAGTGACTTGTCCCAAATCTCACAGCTAGGAACAAATAGCAGAGCCAGAATCAAATGTGAATCCCCTGACAGAGGATCTCAACCAATCAATCCACAAGCATTTATTAAGCTTCTACTATATGCCAGGCACTGTTCTAGGCATCAGGGTTATGGACACATAAGGAAAACAGTTCCTGTTCTTCATGTCCCAAAAGTCTTTGTGCAGTCTTAAAAGTTTTAATGGACTAAGATTTTTGGGACACCCTGTATTGGGAAAGTTCTCTGCACACCTTAAAGTACTATTAAAATGTTAGCTATTGTTAATGTCATTATCATGTAAAACAAAGGCATCTAGCTAGTGGAATGAATAGGGAGCTGGGCTCATAATCAGAAAGACCTGGGTTCAAATTGTGTCTCCAACACTTTTTAGCTATGTGACCCTGGGCAAGTCACATCTGTTTGTCTCAGTTTCTTCATCTGTGCAATGAAGTGATTGCACTCAATGGCCTGTTCAGTTCCTTCTGGCTCCAAACCTATGATTCTAGGGAATACAAAATAACCTTGGGGGTAACCCACAGGACTTAATATGGTCAAAAAGATATTGCCTCTTTTTTCCTCCTAGTGAGAGGTTCCTGTTATCTGTCGGATTCATACTGAAGTTCACTGGCAAACTGTGGATGAGTTGAGATGGAAAGAGTACATTCTGTTGCCTGGTAGGTAAGAAAACACCCAGAGATTCAAATTAGGTACCAAATAGTCTCCTCCTTGCCTTGGGTACTTGAGCATTCATGTGCACGCAGTGTAAGCCATTCGCTATGAATTGTCATTGCCAACTGTAAAAGATCTGGTCCTACCTCACTTAACTGTATCACTTTCTACTGTGGACAGAGCTCTAGGTTCAAAATCCTACTTTTGATGCTTTTGACCATTGATACCTTGGACAAGTCACTCCAGCTTTCTAGATCTCAGTTTCTTCATCTGTAAAAGGAGGGAGTTGGACTGAATGGCCATTGACTCCCCTTCTAGCTTTAGATTTGTGACCCTATGATTCTGAATACTAATTCTTCAAAATTGGGAAACTGCAGTGTTTTAGAAATGGCCCAGGCTCCAGTCCTTTTATGCCTCATACAGTTGTTTGGGAGAATTATGTGTCTACTAGATACATATTTTTGAAAATTAGGTGACACTGTATACTGAGAAGTACTGTAAAAATTAACATCTTCCTACTGTTATCCTTCTGGAAGTTGAAAAGCAAGGGTCTGGCTTCTGTGAGGTTTGATATGGGTGGGAGGAAGGGAGAAGGGAGAGAAGCCAAGAAATCCAGGAGTTTTAATCCATTGAGGAACTACAAAAGAATATGGACTAATTCTCCTCAATTTCCCTTGGTCTGTATAGTGAATGATAGCAGAAAAAATTTGCTGCATTTCATCAGGTTTCCACTAGTTTGCTGCATATGCAAATCTCGCCAAATTAATAAGTGTTCTCCTAAAACTAGATGCCATTAAAAAAAAAAACAAACTTCTTCAATCCTGAAGTAGTCTTGCTTCTAGCGGCTGTTTATTGTTCCCTATTTAGCATTTCTTTATATTTGAAGACAGTGAAAGGTTTCAAAGAAAAGTGCAACAAAAAGAAAAGTCCCACAAAAAGAAAAGTCCAAGAAAATGAAGGGGGAGTTCTGCATAAACAGGTTGGTAGTGTTCCATTTTGGCCCAGTAGCCAGCATCTTTCCTGACACTAAGTAGACGGTATTATGTTTGTATTTTATTAGACCTAGTTCCAGTGTTTCGATTTTGTTTTCATCTGGGCCTGTGTGATTCTAAGATTTGGTACATCCCTTTTTTTTCAGCCTTGTGGGTTTATTCCATATTAATATGGTGACACCTTCACTGAAGTTCTCCTCTGATTGTTTCTTGTAGCTTAGAAGTGACCCTGTATTCTCAAAAGCCCTGCCATCTGACCATAAGCTCTGGCAGGCCCAAACAACTGTAAAAGGGTCTTTAATCTGATAATCAGCTTAACTAGGTTCAAAGAGTTTCATGAGTAGAAAGTTGGTAAACCTAGTGATATGAATGTTTTGGGTCACAGCAACTCCAGCTAGTTGTCCTAGGAGATATCCTGGAGCTTGCCTCCTCTACGAAGTCACTGATATTAGTTTGCTTTGGGATTATTTGCCTGTTTTTTATAAAGGTGGTGTGAAAGATGTGTAGCTACATAACCTCCAGGTAGAGTGTGTGAGAGTGTGTGTGTGTGTGTGTGTGTGTGTGTGTGTGTGAGAGAGAGAGAGAGAGAGAGAGAGAGAGAGAGAGAGAGAGAGAGAGAAAGTTACTGAATTAAATACCTAAACAACCTGCTCCCAAGTGGCTTCATAGCCCCCAAGAAAATTATCTTCATCTAAACAAAAGCCATTTGTTAACTGCCTACTATGTGCAAGGCACTGTACTATCCTTTGATTTGGTGGCAGCCTTCAAATTTACTATATATTTGTCACCACTAAGTCCATAAGCACTTTCTTTGTCAACTTTCACTTCCCTATTGTCTCACTTGCAGTAGGTTTGTTGATGATATATGAAGGAACATTCCTGATCATTTATTTTTTAAATAAATTTACAAAATTTTTATTGATGTCTTTTTTTTTTGTCACCTACATTTCCTACTATTTCCCTCTTCTTTTCCCTTCCATCTCTTGTTACAAAGAATCAAAAAAGAGAAAAAAACCACTCGAGCAAAATTAACCAACATCTCCACCAAGTTCAACATGTAGTGTTCCACACCCATAATTTCCCCCCCCTTTCTGCAAAGAAGGAAGGCACATTCTCATTTCTTTCCTTTGGGGCCACGCTTGGCCCTCATAGGACTCATTGTTGTTCTCGCCACTTACATTGCTGTAGTTGTGTATTTTCCCCCAGTTTTGAAAGTAATGTGTTGAATATATGATACGCTTTTTCCTTTAAATAATGAATTTTATTGATCTTTTCTTTCTATATTGTTGATATTTCCCCCTGTATTCCTCCCCCTCCCATAGAGTCATATCCTATGACAAAAACTTTTTTTAAAAAAGAAGAGGAAAAAAATTCTGTAAAATTGGTCAACACAATGAAAAAACCTGATGTTAAATGCAGTTAGATGGACTCCCACCTCTGCAAAGAAACAAGGTTGGGGAGGGAAAGTTGTCTTTTCATATTTTTTGGGGGGCTAACTTCATCATTGTAGGGATTCAGTTTCATTTACTTTGTTGTTTGTTCTTTCCATTTACGTTGTTGTGTAGATTGTTTTCCCAGTCCAGATTATTTTACTTTGCATCAGGTCATGTTCTTCCCATGCTTCTCTGTCTTTACCACATTCATCATTTTTGACAACACAGCAATGTTCCATTTCATTCATGTCTAGTTTGTTTAGCCATTCTTCTGTTGACAAACAACTGCTTTATAACCAATTTTTTGCTACTACAAAAAAATGCTTCTATAAATATTTTGGCTTCTGTGGAATTACAAAAAAATCTTTGACCTACTTGGGGGTGTATGCCTAACAGTGGGATCTCTGGGTCAAAAGATATGGACATTTTAGTCGCTTTCTTAGTATAACTCTAAATTACTTCCCATAATGGTTGGACCAGTTCACAGCTCCACCAACAATGTATTAGTGTGCTTGTCTTTGTAGAGTTCCTTTGACATTGACTATTTAAACCTTTAGCCATCTTTGTCAGTTTACTGGGTATGAGGTAAAAACTCAGAGTTGTTTGTTTTGACATTATTAGAGATTCAGAGCAATGTTTTCATATGGTTAGCAACAGCTTGCAATTCTTTTGAGAGTGGATTGTTACTATCTTTTGACCATTTATCCATTAAAGAATGATTTCTCATCTTATTTATTTATCTATCTGTTTGGGAGGCAATCAGGGTTCAGTGACTTGCCCAGGGTCAAAAAGATATTAAGTGTCCGAGGCCACATTTGAACTCACATCCTCCTGACTTTATGGCTGGTGCTCTATCCATTGTGCCACCTACTTGCCTCATCTTATATATTTATGTTAGTTCCCTATGTATCTTGAATACCAAGCTCTTATCAGAAATATTTCATGCAAAAATTGTTTTCCCTTTTTTGTAGCTTCTCTTCTCCTAGTTTGTCAATTTTGTTTGTATAAAACCTTTTTAATTTCCTGTAATCAAAATTATCTGCTTTGCCTTTTGTGATGCCTCTATACCTTGTGTAGATAAGAATTCTTCCACTAGTCCGAGCTGTGAAAGAACCCTGATCTTTTTTTCTGCTAACATAGTCTTATGGAATTCTGATCATTTCAAGAATTTGTGCTAGGGTATTTAGGAAAGGACTTTCTCTACCACTTATTGAGGCTTTCATGAGAAGCTATTACAGCAGATTTGATACCAGGCCATAATATTCTCCAACTTCTTTTTAAATATTTGATTTTTAACAATTCCAGGCACAAGCAATGTGAAAATTACATCTTTAATCTTACAATGAGAGTGAAAATCCTGGAGAAATACCTATTCTGGAAGCCCTATCATAGTGGTGGTAAAGGATTGTGTTTTCCCATTGGAAATGTTAGAATTTGGAGTAGAGTGCCTGATTAAGGATTGTTCATCAAATAAATCACATATATACCCAATGCTCTGATAAAATCAAAGATTTAGCAGTCATAAAACTCTGTAATCATTTGAAATAGTGAAATTATGCTCCATTTCCTATAAAATATACAGAAACATATAATACACATGGCTTACAGATGGATCCCAGTGTCTGTAAAGCTCCCTGTGTTACATAGAAATAGAACTCTGCTGCTTCATCAGTTTGAATTAAAAATGATTTTGCTGTTATAATAAGCATTAATTATTGCCTTAATAATTTTGTTGCTGCTTTAGAATTAAGAAAGGCTTTGGAGAAATGATTTTAGGTGGCCTAGGTCTTTAAAACTCTGCCCATGATCATTTTTAAGTTCCTTACAACAAACAGAGGCATTCGTAATCATTCCACTAGCCATAGATACCTCCAAATAAGGTAGTGAGCCCTCAAAAATATATTTATGCATGTATGTGTATATATGTATATATATATAATATATATATCTCGTTGATGGTGATGATGTTACTCACTGAAAAGCACTTTCATTATAAGGATTTTCCCAACTTTTATTTCCCTTCCCATTCTTCCCACTTTAGTTTATTAAAAGCTACAGATGCTTATGGTTTCGTCCACCTTGATTGCTGTGTAGCATCTGTCACTTTAAGTAGTTCCCTTTTCTTGCGTTCGCTTCCATGGCATTGAAATTTTCTAAAAATAGATTTTTATTCATATCTTCATTTTTTACATCACCTAGATTTCCCCTTACATCTCGTTTCTTTCCCTCTCCCTAAGAGCCATTCTTTATAACAAAGAATTTTTTTAAAGAAAGGGGAAAAAAAGGAAACAGAGAGAAACAAAAATTCAGTTGAACCAATTAACACATCAGAAAAAGTCTGATGTTCTGTGCCATGCTCTACACCTGTGGAGCCTGACCTCTGGGGGTGAGGGTTCTCATATCTCTTCTTTGGGGCCAAGTTTGTTCTTTAGAGTTCTGGAGACATTTGGTTTCCCCTGTGTTATGATGGTTGTTCTTTCCCTTTTCATTGTTGCAGAGTCATATTCTGTGTTGTTCTCCTGGCTCTGCTTAATTCACTTAGCATCCAATCATCTAAGAATTCCATTTTTCTCTCTAGTC